TGGGACCGGCGGGGACAATGGGGACAATGGGGACACTGAGACTGGGGACACTGGGCGGGGACTGGGACGGACTGGGACGGACTGGGAGCGACTGGGAGCGACACTGGGGACACTGGGACAGACTGGGAGCGACACTGGGGACACGGGACAGGGACACCGACAGGTACTGGGGACACTGGGATGGACTGGGGGACACTGGGAGTGACTGGGAGTGACACTGGGGACACTGGGACAGACTGGGAGCGACTGGGATGGACTGGGGGACACTGGGAGTGACACTGGGAACACTGGGGACAACGGGGACAATGGGGACAGGGACACTGGGGGGACTGGGACAGACTGGGAGCGACACTGGGAGCACTGGGAGCGACACTGGGGACACGGGACAGGGACACCGACAGGTACTGGGAGCACTGGGATGGACTGGGGGACACTGGGAACACTGGGGACAGGGACACTGGGGGGACTGGGAGCGACTGGGACGGACTGGGAGCGACTGGGAGCGACACTGGGAGCACTGGGACAGACTGGGAGCGACACTGGGGACACTGGACAGGGACACAGACAGGTACTGGGGACACTGGGATGGACTGGGGGACACCGGGATGGACTGGGATGGACTGGGGGACACTGGGAGCGACACTGGGAACACTGGGACAGACTGGGAGCGACTGGGAGCGACACTGGGGACACGGGACAGGGACATCGAGAGGTACTGGGAGCACTGGGATGGACTGGGGGACACTGGGAGTGACACTGGGAACACTGGGGACACTGGGAACACTGGGAACAGGGACACTGGGGGGACTGGGACAGACTGGGACGGACTGGGAGCGACACTGGGGACACGGGACAGGGACAGAGACAGGTACTGGGGACACTGGGATGGACTGGGATGGACTGGGAGCACTGGGGACACTGGGGACAGGGACACTGGGGGGACTGGGACGGACTGGGAGCGACACTGGGGACACTGGGACAGACTGGGAGTGACACTGGGGACACTGGGATGGACTGGGAGCACTGGGGACACTGGGGACACGGGACAGGGACACTGGGGGGACTGGGACGGACTGGGAGTGACACTGGTGACACTGGGAGGT